TGCGGCGATAACATTATCCTAAGTTTGCTGAAAGTCTGAATTAAAGTCTTGGAGCCTTCTAGACAACTTGAACAATATCCAAATTGTAATTCCCCGAACGTTTTCAAATAAGAACTGCAAAAACCAAAATTTTTTTTTCTCGCGTCTGACTCATTTGTCGTGAAGGCAGCACTCCTGTAACGTTGCTTCTCCGTCACGATTAGCAAACTGATAAGGGTGCTGCATCAGTTGCTCGGAGACAACCGAAATTTTTATTTTTTGTAATTTCTTCGGTTTTGTTAAGGAGTTCCACTTTTTGTTTTCCTTCTGTACATGACGCTACTTATTTGCTTTTCCAAATCTTAATTGTGCATTCCAACAATTCCGTCAAAAAATTTTTATTGAATTCCACTTTGAACAATGCTTTGTAGACCAAAACTAACCACCGAGACTAAAACCAGAAGGAGGAATCAGAATTGAAAGTGGTTTAGTGCCGCAGTTGTGCAAAAGATTTTTGACGGAGTTATCTGTTGGCCAACCTCGTGTTTCTGCAACTGAATATCCACATGTCGTCCTAAAGTCTAGGCTTCTGTTGTAGTGCTGGCAAAGCTGATTGCGTCGCTCAACAGTATGCTTAATAAAGGGCCGGCCGATAACAGATGCCCAACTTTTTGTTGCTTATGAGACGTTGACTGGTGATTCTCTAACCTAATACTTTCTCACCTTACTAGATGAAAGAGGAACAATGTGTGGTAGAAAGTACCATGTCGCTAAGTAGATTGAAAACATTGGTTTATTAAAAAAGGTTAAAATTTACCAGTTGTGAATAAGAGGCCTATAAATCATTAAAAGACTCCTCATTTGTTATACATGTTAAAACAACTTTACAAACATACAGTATCAGAATTGAAAAAATGATAAGAAGGGGCAATTAGGACTGCTGTACTATACAGTAAACAGGTTTTAAAATATGAGAGTGATTCTTAATGCATATTGGGCATTAGAGGTCAACAATTCTTTATTTGTCTAGTAAATGTCAAAACTTTTACTTCGCGTCAATAGTTGTTGTAGAATTCTGATGTAGTACTTCATCAAACGGTGAAACATAGCTGAAAAAGTTGACTAGAAGTGAAAAAAAAAAAAAGAAGGAAAAGCAAGAAACCACCGGGCTGAGTTGCTGCTAACCTATGTGTAAGTCATCAGATTTTTCTTTTTTTCTTTTTGGTTTTAGAATTATGTTTATTAGGCATAAAAGTCAAGAGTCGCTGGCGAGAAATTAGGAAATAGATTTTAAGTGATGTGGAAAAGAAAAACATTTTCAACAAGTATTATTAGAAATCTAAAAAACTATCAGACCACAAGTCTTAAAACTACAATAAAAATAAACTTATAGTATAGCAGGTCACATTCACCAAAAGCTTGAACGCACTTGGTTGCAGTTTTCTTAATGCTGCAAATTGATTGCTATGTACAACTTTTATGATCAAAAAACTCTGTTAAGAAGTAAGTTTACTTTAAAAGTATAGAAATATTCTTTAAAAAAATGACATAATTATTTGTTTCAAGTCAGTAATATTAGCTGTGCAAAGAAAAAGACTGAAAAAAATTACTTTTTTTGTCAACAAAATTTTGTTTACTAGTGAAAAATTTTTTCAATTAGCTTTTCGATATATTTGATTATAAGACACATAAAAAAGTTGTTTTAATAAGTTTGCAAACCTAAATTTTGATTGAAAAATGCAAGAAAAAAAAGAACAGTTGCTTGGTAAGTAAATGAAGTAAAGTAAGAAAAAAAACTTGAAAATTTTAATACGTTAAAATTTAGCAATGCAATTAATCGAGAAGATTAAGCGAAAATAGTTCATTAGAATTGTCGATAAACGTGAGATCTTATTACAAGTGAATAAAACTGCTGGTAAAGAAATCAATTTGGCATAAGTAAGGCATAGGCATAAGTAAAGAAATATAAATAAATATACATGCAACAAATTAAGCAGTTGATAAAAGAAGTGTGAAAAGAAATCTTTAACTCATTTAATAATCTATAAAAAGTTGGTAATATGTCAGCAGTTCTGAATGACATTTTATAAGCCACGTAAGTAATCAAAATAAAAATAGGATACAATGACAACTGAAAAACTAAAAAAAAAAAAGAAAGAGCTTTTGTGAAATCAAACTAACAATTTTTGGGTTGCTTAAGCTAGACTAGATTGTATAAATAGCCAAAAACAATCAGATTGCGAAAAATGATTGAAGAAATATCCAAGCTGATTTATACGTTATTGATTCAATCTTATGAAAACCTGGTAATAAGAAAATTTGTATGGGAAAAAAGCTTAGCAAAATTCTTCTGTAAACCGTCGAACCATTCTGGTCAATAGTTATAGCTGCAGAACATAATCATAGATTAGGCCACATTATTTTTAAATGTTTGTAGGTTTCTTTTTTTTTTTCTTTACAAAATTATCCACAAATATAGCAGTTTAAAAAATACACATTAAAATCAATGAAAAAAAAATTACGCCATTATTGGATAACGTAAGGAACCACATTGATTAGGGTGTTAAAATTTGAATTGCTTTACTGGTGTTTAGAAAACATCTCATAGGCGACAAGATCGGTTGATTCGTACAAAAATTTATAATTCAAAAAACTAATATAAGTATATAATTGAAAACAAAAATAAGAAGACGAGCTAAAAACTTAACATTATGTTATAATTTAATATTAAAATTTTAGTGTAAGTTTTTTGTACACAAATTTTTTGCTATAGAAACAATTAAAAAAATGTTAAAATTATTTGTTTTTACAACTGATAATTGTAACTGTAATTAATTGTTGACATCTAAGTAAGCCTTAGAAGGTTACAAATTTATAATATAAAATTCACTTAGAAGAGAAAGAAATCTGCTTTACTTTACTGTCACAAATATATGACTAAAAAATGTACAGTAAAATTTGCATAAACATTCTACAAAAAAAAATTGAAAACTGATTAAGTTGACATTAAGTTAGAAGCAATTATAGACTTTGTTTTAAGAATTAACAAATGTTTTGGTTAAATGTACTAAAAAAAAGACCATGAAGTGACTTGAATTTAGCATACCAATGACAACGAAACGATATATCTGTATAGTATCGGTCGTGAAACAGCAAATATGTTCGATGCTGCTTTTGATGGGTAAAAAAAACTATGTAAAGCTAAAATGTAAAAAATACTGGCAAATTTTTTGGTAACAAAACTTCTTTTTTGGCTATAATTTTTCAAGCAAATTTTTAGATATCTTATGTAAACATAGTTTAGCCTATAAAGCCTCTTTTTTAAATCTTAAAAACTATAATAGAAAATATAATTGTACAAACATTTGTAGCTTTGACAGGTAAAATAAATGTAGAATTTATATCACCTTGAAAAAGCAAAAAATTTTTTCAAAATTTAATAAAAAGTTTTTATCACAAAAGTTTTGGTTAACATAATGACCATCTTTCTTTATCAGACAATAGAAAAGTACCAATAGTGACCATATTAAACTGAGAACTATTTTAGGCTGTTAGAATCTTGCTCGGTAGAAACAAAATTCTGATAATTTGTATGACTTACAGTTACAAGTCACAAATTTTTTAGTTTTTTGAATTAGACAGTACCGCAAAAGTGACATAACGATTGTAAATTCCAACTTAGATCAATTACTACTGTTGTGCAAAATGCAGCATGCAAAACAACCACTTCCAATTGCTGACCATTTTTGGTTTAACAATTGGTCTCAAAGTAGTTGCATAGATCAAATATTTCTGCCTCCCGCAGATGCTTATTATCCACCTTATTTTATGACAGTGATTTGCACCTTGTTTACCAATTTTTTGTCAGTTTTAGAAGCCTAATTGATCAATTTTTTTATTTTGCCTACTTATGCCAAAATTTTGCGACTAAATTTGAACGACTGCTGAAATGCTGTACCAATTTCAGCTTTAAAAAAAGCAGTAGTTTAGTTCGTTTTTTTCTACAGAAGATTAGCTTTTAGTAAAACAGCAAAAAAAAAAAATATAGAAAAATAAAAAATAACCGTTATTCATCTAAACAGTATTTTTGTCGCATAGCTTTTTTACACCAAAAAAAAAGGTTGAAAATTTGCTCGACAACTATCTACAACAGTTCCCTTCTGTTTTTGAAATAAATCATTCGAAAAAAAAGAAAGAAAACGATATTTTATCTATTTAACGAAATATGAAATTATTCATTTTAGACCAAAGATCAAAACGTGTTTTATTTTAGTTTTGTATGACTACCGCAGAAAGACCCTTTTTTTTGTTCACAACTCGGTGTTGAAGCTAGTGATTCGGGTAGTTCAGGAACGTACTCTGAGTTGCTTGATTATTGACACGAAAATAGTAATCATAATCTACATGTTAATTTGTCAAATTTTATGTTACAGGTTCTGTTTTCGGCTTCTTTTTAAAGAGGCATTTGAGGCTGGAAGAATCCAAACTAATAGACCTGCATGTTAGCAACAGGATAAAACTGTATGATATCTGCGTATATCTTTTCGTGTTCAAAAGTTAACACAAGTCTTTAGTGAAACTTTCAGTGCAGGTTTTAAATAGCTTTTTGTAGGCTATAAAAACATTTACATCTATGAAGTAAATAGATTTTATTGCTGATCATTTCAATTTTTAAGTCAAGGCTAAATTCAGATCGTATCACTAGTAATATTTACCTTCATAAGTTGATTTTTTCACGAATTAAACTGTCTAATACAGTGTTAGGAACAATTTTCACATTCTTTTCGTTTTTACTTAATATTCTATGTTTTCCTCTTATTTGATGCTGTTTAGACTGATGTATACAATAATATGTATAAATATAAACACAATATAATATCGGAGAAAAAAAGAAAAAAAGATTATATCTTCAAAATTTTAATTGAAGTGATAAAGGTTAAAAGAACAAAAAAAAGAGAAATTGCTTTTTATCTTTTTCATATAACGCTTCTCCGCGACGTCAAATATACCGATTAGCTGCTTTATTTCTTCCATTCAGCTTTAGATGCTTTCTCTTTCTCCTGCAAAAAAACGGTACATTTGAGAACTCAATAAAATCTTGTGACAAAAGTTAAAATTTAAGACTAGACTTACTTTCCTTTAAAATGAAAAAAAGAGAAAACTTACTCAAAAAAAAAAAAAAAAAGAAAATAGTGTTAACGTTTACATCATCAAGGGCAAATTTTTTGGTATCAACATTCTTAAGATTTGTTCGGAAATCGACCGTCTTAACATCCTTCTTTTTAATCTTGTCGAATCTATAACACATCATTTTTAATCAAAATTCAATCCTAAAGGCTTAGATAAATTTCTTTCTGTGTATAACAGCCAAACAGAATTTAACAACTTTCAAATTTTGTACACAACAACTTCAAAAAAAAAAAAGCTAATTTATCAATGCCAATATGCGCCTATTCTAAATGCCACTAATTTGATTGTTGATAGAATCAACTTAGGCTGATTTGGTTGTTGATAGGATCAGCCTAAAATAATTTGAATAGTAACAGAATTAGGCAGAAGTCTAGCTGTAAAAGAACAGTAAAAAACAAACCTGGAATCAGTCTTTGAAACTTTCTTCAATGTCGGTTTGACACTGCAACATATAACAACAAAATTAATTGCATTTGGACAAAATTTTCAGAAAGATTACTATTGCTTTTACAGTGATGACACTATTGTTTACCCCGCAGTATTTGGAGGTACATTTTCTGACAAAACGGTTTCACAGAAATTACTGACAATACATCGTGTTTGATTAGAAAGCAATTCGGCTTAAAATGTTCAAAAAAAAAATCATTAATTTTTTGTCACTAATTTATTTGCTAATTTATATTGAACCATTTTGTTTTATAGAAATCAATAAAATTTATTTTTTGATACGTCAACTTAGGTGCTAAATTTCTGCTAATCTTGCTCAGTTTTATTTACGATGTCTTTTTCAAAAAATCTCCAGAAAGGTAGTGGAACAAAGAAACAGCTCACAATTTGCCTCTCAAATCGTTCACAGCAATTGTCAATTCGTTGATTTCGAAGTCTTTCTGTCGAACAGTATAATTGATGTCATAGTGCTCACTTTCAAGTTCCATCAGTCGTGTCGCCATATCCTTTGCAATTTGTTCCAACTCCTCTGAAATGGCATTATAACAGCGACCCTCAGATGTAACATGCATTACTGGTTGCATATTTTAGCTGTACGCTGTTTAGACACTCCTCGACAAAGGGCAGTTTTTTAATATTGAGTCAAACGGTAAACCATTTCGTTATTAAAATCAATTTTGTAAGGGCTTAACACAATATCACTGCTGATAGAGTGAAGATGCACATGCAGTTTGGAAGAAAATAATACTTACCCATATCAGCTCCTTCCAAATCTGGCAATGGTATGATTCTTTCTTGCAAAATACGTTGTCTTTCTTGTTCTTTCAGCATCTGCTGTTGTTTTAAATCTTCTGCTGCTTTCATCATAAGCAGCTTCTGCAAACACAACAGTAACCATGCTTAGTTTTTGATATCACTGCTATTCAGTTGTTCACTATCTCTTTCTTTCGATACCTTCATGTCTTGAAAAAATACCTTTTGCAGGTAATACAGTTAAAGCTTACTCTGAGTTTCTTCTTACGTTCTGGTGTCAAGAAACCTTTTTTAGCTTTTTTGGCTCGCCCGGCTTCTTCCAGACGTCTACGAACTTCCGCCTTTTTTCTCTCGCGTTCTTCTCTGGCCTTTTTTGCCTTTAAAGCTAGTTTTTTGATCATTGTATACTTTTGCATATTATATGGAATAATTAATTCAAAGTTCAGGTAATAATCTAGCTTTTTGTAATGTAAAGAGCTTTCACTCAGTTAACCTCATCTTCGTCTTCGTCTTCATCATCACCTTGCGGCCCACCCCAGCGGATGCGTTTTTCAAGTTCAGGGCAAAAACTTTCGGAATCCATCCTGCTCCTGAAGTTTTCAGTATTCAACATTATAAGAGATAGTATTTATGCTACACATTTTCAACAATATAAAACTGAATATTTTAATAATAACTGTATTATAAACCGACTTTGTTCAGTTTGCTTAAAGGCAGATATGGAGTGAAAGTTACATGAACAGTCTTTTCGAAGGAAGAAAAGACAGCAGTGTACTGTTTCAATTTTAATCGATTTGCATCGAACAAAAAACTTTTATTTGGTTAACGACATAATTAACGGTTAAAATTACATTTATCTACTAATGGTTACTGCATTTGTGGCTTAGAGTCTACCCAATGTTATTAAATAGTTCTTACATGTTTCTTAATTACAAAAAAACTTTTCAATCTAATTATATAATCGTTTAAGACCAATTTTAAAAGAGCCTTATTTTGTTTATAATTGGCTATATTAACAGTGGACACTATTGTTTAAATATCGCGTGAGGTTCTTGAAACAAAACTTCCAAAAAAAAAAATTTCACTATAAATTAAATTTTATTAAGGAGAAAAAATACAGCAGTTACAACAGCGTTTAATTTCTTTACTTAATTATCAACTTTACATTACAGTTAACTAGCTTTTTTTTACTCCTTTCCTCCTCAATATATTTCTATTCCAACAAATTAAATAAAAGAAAATTTTGCATCACCTTTATTGACTGTACTAATTCATCACATTAATTTCCAATGTTTAGAAAGAAAATACAGAATGCTTTTACCAAATTTTTTGATGCTAGATTAATTTTTTCCAAATACCGTAGTTGAAGATAATTTTTCAGTATCGTTGACGACAACTTTAATAAACAAGTAGAGTTTTGTTGCAGCAGTAAACACTGTTTAAATGCTGTAACTAAGCTAAGAAGACACATTTAGAGCAAAAAAAAAAAGAACTTTCCGTATAAACAGTCAAATAAAAAAATAAGGAAGAAAAGATTTTTTTCTTTTGAAATCTCTTGAAATATAATAATGGCGTACAGTAATTTGACGACCGAAAATTATTGTAATTAGTAAGAGTAACAGAACAGCATTGCAGAGAGGAGAATAGATGAACGTCGTCTGGAGATAGATGAAAGATTTGTAATGGAACAGAAAAGCAAATCGGGCATCTTTGAGGCTAAAAGGTGTTGGATCCTCTAAGACGATCTAAGATTTGCTTTTGCGCACAAAACAGAAGTGCAGCGGCAGTAAATTTTTTGTTGGCTCATTTGAAGTGTTTTTTCTTTTTTCTGTATGTATGTGAGTCTTTGTGTGTATATGTTGGGTAGAAATTGAAGCTTTTCAACTAGTCTTGATGTTTACTGAAAAAGAAAGCTTCTTTTTTTTTTCAGTTGAAGCTCACACTACTTGTCTTTCACAGATGATTTCAGAGTTCTGCTGTCTCCTACGCCCTGAACAACTTCAATATCCACTTTTTTTTTCGGTTTGTTTATTTCATTTCATCAGTTCGTTAAATTTACTTTGTGACGACAATGGTGATCAGGTTCTTTTTATTCTTGTTGTTCTTATTTTTCTGCTTATGTGTGCAAATTGTTAAACATCATAATAGACAAATTGAATTTATTTATAGTTAAGATAAAATTAAAACCAAAAAAAAAAGTCAGATTTTATCACCAATAAAAATTAATAGCGAAAAAAGAAAATTTTCTGCTATTATACTGGTTGATCTGCTGCAGAAATGCAGATAATACAGTTGTTCAATTGTTTTGAAAGATATAACAAAGTCTAATAATCCATTAAGAACAGTTCGACAAAAAACAAATTTTTTTTTTTTTGAATATTGTTTTGTTATCGACGGCAACTGAGTTATAATGGTTATAAATGTTACAGGAAAACAAAAAAAGCTGAAAGAGAATAAATTGTTACAAATACATTAGAATATATTATTAAATTTGATTTTTATAAAAAATTTAATTGAAGTAAAATAAGTAACTTTAATATAGGTTACCTATTCACAGATATATGAGCAGCGTAAAAATATACACAGCTTAACAGGTTATGCAATCTGGCGATGTATCAGTAAGAAGTATAAATTAATAACTGTCTTACTGCTGTGATTTGAACAGAGAAGAAAGAAGTAAAGATAAAGATGAAACAGAATTGTAGTAAGTGCAGAATATCTGAAAGTACTTAGATGAATTTACTAAACACTGTTGATGGTTAACCGTTGTGCATATAGTTTAACAAGATTGACTGCTTAGTTTATTAGTCAGTTAGTCAGGTAGTTGGTTAGCTAGTCAGCTGGTTGGCTTTTGTGACATAAAACACTGATCGATAACTGGTGGTTAAAAGTGTACAAATTTGTTGATCTCTATTGAAAGTTTTTACCAAAATTGAATTACAAAATTAAGTGTTTTGTTTCTTATGCAGGAAAATTTTTTCTTTTCGCTAAGAATTATATAAAACTGAAAAATTTAACCATCATTAACTGCAGCAGCTCCATCATTATCAACACCTTCACCAGTTTTATCAGCATTACCGTTACGAATAAATGAACGATTTTTACTTTACAAATGATCACAGTTTTTAAAACTTCGGTATCTGGCTTCATCATAAAACTAAAACCAGTTTTTTTTCTTCCTATCCCACTTGATAATTTGTGAAGAAAAAAGTTAGAAAGTCAGAGAGAACTAAAGCAGCCAACATTGTTGAACTATTTAACCGTTTTACAAATTCAAAAAAAAAATTCAATTAAATTTGCCTTTTTTATTGATAAATAACCTCTACACTAAGTACTGTGATATAAATTATGTGTCTGGCACAGGTGAGATAAACGGCGATACAGCTACGTTAAGAAAAAAAATTTTTTCCAAGGTTATTTAGTAGATTCTGGGTTAGCAAACAGCAGTCTCTGTGAATCACTTTGAAGCTGCTAGAAATTTTTTTTAAGTTACAGATCGAGCACAACAATTTTTGTTGTTAAGTGTTGATGCACTAAGAGCGACATACTTGCTTGATAGATAAACCCAGTCAATAAGCATATTTTGTTAAACAAAAAGCTAAAAAGTTAGCGCTTGTTTGCCCTTCTGTTCTGTTAGTAACTTAGTGAGTCGACATTAATACGGGGTAAAAGTGTTGAAAAAAGTTGTACAATTATGGTGAAAAAAATATTGCTGTTATCAGTACGCTAAATAATTTTTCTGTATAATTTTTCTTAGCGTTAAATTTGATTCAAACTCTTTTTATACTAATTACTACACAAAAATCCTTAAACAATTTCTCCTTAACCTTCGACTTTATTTTCCGCTTTTTCATCCACTTCTTCGTTCTTCTCTTTGCTCATATTTTCAGCAACTTTCTTGATCCTCTTCGCTTTTATTCCTCCTTCTCTCGGCCGTTCGCCTTCTCAATAAAAAATTGACTATATACCTGCATAGACATTCGCCAGCTATTACGGAACAAAGTTTGATCTGATCTGCCAATGAAGATAAATAATAATAAAATAAAACTGTGGCAAAGATGCATTAAAAAGTTTTTTATAGACCAAAATAAAAAATGAGAGAACATTTCACTTTGGTGATTCAGCAGCGTAACTGAATCTAACAGAATCTGTTTCCCCGTAGAACGAGCAGGTTAACTGAAAAAACAAGATTACAACACTCTTTTTACACTTGCCTTTGATCACCTCAGAAGCACTAGAATGCCAAGTCGTCGGTACTTGGTAGACCTTTTCCCGCAAAAATAAAACGCTATTGTTCACCTCAGCAACAGTATGGTATGCAGGTGTCTAAATTTTAGCAAGCATGCGAGTCATTTCGAGAGTTATTGTAATTTTCAATTCGACCAGTGTTAAACGATACATGTGTCGCAGACAGATAAGGTAAAATCTCTACAATGTAAAGTAGAGATTTACAAACTATTTTTGGCGGAAATTAGCACGCAAAGAAACTTACTAAACTTAAATGACTAGCGAAGAATATTTTAGAAATGCTATTGATGTATTGAAATTTGTTGCGACATTCCAAAATCAAACGTGCGAAACTTGTGAATGAGAGCAGAATTCATTGCGACATCAGCTCCAACATGCTGCGATGGACTATCAGCGCAATATTTCTATCGATATTACCGTGAACAGGAATATTGTAAAGTAAAATTAGCAAAGAAAACTGTTGCAGAAAAGTAACGGTTTTTCACTCGCAATAGTAAGTAAATTCAACTTATTTCTCACCTTCTAGAATTAAAAAAACAAAATTATCCATTACAACTTATTTTGTTAAACTCATTAAAACCAGAAACTTATTCAAATATTTGTTTCCTTGTTCTTCAGCATAATAAGGAAATTATAAAACCACCTGTGTCAGGTTCCAGAACCCACCGCATATTTCCAAGACACAACACATTCCCTTGGTCAGTCCTTGTAAACTTAGAAAGGTGGTCTACAGGAGATTCATTAGCCCACCACATCGTTGCGTCATTCTCCGCAAAAAACTCCATGTAAGCACCACCAAAATCTATCTTGTCACAAAATTCTGTACAGCGCCCTATGTAAAACAGTAGTCAGTAAAAAGTGTGAAGCAAAAAGAGACGCCATCTTTGCAGTAATGCTTTTATGGAAGCTGTTTACCCCAAAACCGATTTCCATCACTGACAACACTCGCCAAAAACTTTCGTAATTTTCGGTTCTTCAAAAGGACCTCGAAATGAATACTTCTCATTTCATCAAGAATAAGGTCTTCTTTTTCCTTCGGTAGCACAGATGTCAAATGTCCACCATAATTCTGGTAGTGTTGCTCGCCGATTCCGTATTCCACACCACCACCGTTTATCTAAAAAACTAATATTTTCCTCAGATACAAAAGCGACACTTCGTAAAATGCCACATCCACTTGAATATGACAAAATATGTTTATCTCAAAAACAGTACAAATCCTGGATCCACTAAGAACTTTCATTCATTTCTTTTGCAGCACATGAAAAAGAAATATTAATTGCGGATTTGGCAGAGCCGTTACATAGTGAAAAAATATTAAACTTCAACCAATAACACAGAACGTAATAAAAAGAACTATTCCCTCAACGTTATAAACACTTATATTATACTTTAGGACATCTGCAAAAATAAATATATTGTAACTTTATATTGTTTAGAAAGACATAACATCTACATTCTTCTGCATAAGCAGACGGCAAATAGTTGTCGAAGGGAAACATAATTTACGGAAAACTAACTGAAAACATTCACTTTTGCGTTTTTTTAAAGCCTTTTAACAGAACGGTTAAACACTGAGAGGTTTCGCCTTCAAAAAGTTTTTGCGTTGCATTCTGGTCATGACAAGTTTCGCTCTTGAAAATGTTGGCGGAATCTTATATGTATTTTCAAGAAATACTTAGTTTGGCCAGTCTACAACATACTTTCATATCGTGCACTTGTCAGTCGTCTACTCAATAGCTGAACACAGTGACTTTAATTCAGAGCACCACCTTGTACATTCGGTTTTACTGATTACTTCCTCCAGCGTTTGAGGACAGTAAAGTTTCATCAAAACGTTTACTCTCACAAATGTCAAGTTCCCGAAGACAACAGCGGTTTCTACCTTTACTGGTTTCCGTTGTAGTATAATAAAAACAAGTGACTTAAAAATATCATCACATGAGCTATATAACTGACAAATTTCGTGAATGTTTTTAAAAAAAAGAAACAACCAGGGAATCACAAGGTTTTCTGTTTGCAACAGACAGTGCTTCTTCTACACCAAATCCGCGTCATCTACCGGGAAAAGGGCCAATAAACCTTGTTGCAATTGAGCAGCAGAGTTGCTGCTAAGATTTATCTTTGGCTAGTTAATGAAAACAGAAATGCACATTATTCGTGAGCTCGTAATTTCTCTCTCCTTTTTTTTTGAGTTTTACCGATGCATGGTAGACAACTGTGCTTGTATCTTGCCAGCCGTTTCCTGACATGGCAAAAAAGTGTACCAAAGAAATTTGGTGAAAAGAATTAGCAAACATAAATGAAAAACTCGATTTTGTTAGCAAAAAAGCTCCAGAAATACAAAAACCCACTAATTTAAAAGTGAAAGAATAATTCCTGTAATGTCTCTTTTAACAGAAGCAGAATTTCAAAATTTGAATAGGTTATAAATCTTTTTTTTAAATTTATTACTCCCACTGAGAAAATAATACGATCATCAAAGGCTTACTAAAACAACCTGAATAATATATACATTATATTCACTGTGTAAAACACTCTTTCTTTTTTTAACAAAAATGAACGCTTTTATCTTTCAAATACTTACTAACCATTTGCAACAATAAACGATTATTTTAGAAGTAATGCACAATATTAATGAATATAAGCCAATTTGGGAAAGGCAACACGTGGAACTGTGTTCAAAGTTGAACCGCTATAACTCGAAACGTTAATGATGTTGAAAAACAAAAAAAATTTAAAATCTCTTTTACTTGAATTTACCCAGGTAAGTTGCAGAGGTATAACATATGAAAATAAATTAATAGGCGAAAAGAGCAGAGTAGCAAAATATTTAATAATTATAATATATTCGTGAAAAAAAATTATATTTTTCCTTCGTCACAAAATTTTTCAACAATTCAAAATTTATCTGTACTGCAAAAAAAAGTACATTAATTAACAGGAAACATTACCCTACACTGTTTCTAGAAAATCTGCAGCCTTTCTGCAGATTGTTCTGTTATGTCTCTTCCGTGGTCATATTGCCGAAATATAAACAAATTACAGCATTTATTTACAAAAACTAAAAATTTTCATTATTATACTGACAAACTCTTCAGTTGTTCCTGTCTAAAACCCAAAAATTTTTATTATTATTATTCTCACTTACAGAATTTTACTCTGCTTTCATTTTCAGCCAGTTGGCGATATATTCTTTTATTGTTAGTTTTCTCAACGCTAAAATTTTGGTCTGTAAACTTTACTTTGAAAACTTATATTTTAAAAAAACTGGTAAAATTCCTAGTGAGATTCAATAATTTTACATTTTTACGAATAATAGCAATGAGAGTAGGGTCACTTTTTGCAATAACTTCTTCTACGACAGGTTAAGTATCGCCGGGGCTGAAGCTAAGTTTCAAAAAGACTTTTTGATTCTTAAATTTTGCTATCTTTTATAACCACTGTTTTAAAGAGTAAATTATGTACTTTTAGAACCCTCTTTCCACCTATTCATTTATTTGAATCAATTCAGAGATCAGCAATATTCGATAAGTAATTGACACTAATCCAAGCAGTTTCTCTGCAAATCAACTATCATATATCAGTCGTCAACCACTGTCTGCTCATATTTTAGCTCTCGATACTTTATAAACCTTAATTTTTCTTCAGCGCTCATCATCCCTGATACTCGTGTATACGCAGTGCATGATTTCTTTTCTTATTCGGTATACTTTATGTAAAACTGTATTGATTTAAAGCTTTTTGCCGTCAGGAATCGTTATTCCGCTCGCTATATGGTACGGGCCAATTCAGTGCTATAAGTTATGGTCCAGTTCTGCATTACTATCAATCGTTGCAAAGCTTTATTTATCGAGGTAACTTTTTAAATGTCTGTATTTATTTCGAAATTAAAACATTGACAATTCTTAAATGAGTTCAGAAAGCATATCTGTTTTGTAATTCTTGCATTAAAAAGTTTGGCGTTATCCCTATAAACAGCTAGAAAGATACTCAAAAAAACTTTTTTCTTATCCCTAAGCAAGCTATATCAAGCTGACAAAAACTGAAGTACTGGGATTGGAAGATTAACCACCAAAACAGCAATTTTGCTAGCTCAAAAAAAATGTCCCGCTTTGCTTCAACTTCCATTCCCGACATAACCAGCTGCAGCGCCTTGTAAGACCCCGATCCAGTTTTAGTTTCTGTCATTTCTCTAATATACCATTCAAATAAAGTTGCTTTAAAACCAGCCAAGCTATGAAACCTTCTTGACCTGGAATTAGTCGCCACAGTTTTCGATCCATACACATTTTGAAAATCCATAGTATTTCTTACAAGCATCACTGTGAGAAATGCTAAGAGCGAAATATTTTTTAAACTGGTCAAGTCGGAACTATTTGCGCTTTTTAAAGTGTTTTACGTCAAAATGCGCTGATTCAAGCTGCCATCTCTTTATCGCTTTACTTTCAGTTGGTCTTTAATGAGTGTTCTTTTTAACCTCAAGACAAAGACAAATAGGAGAGGTAGGTAACTGGAAATGGTAGACCATTGCGAAAGTATTTGATTGATTTAAGAGAATAATTTCATACTGAAACTGAAAATTTTGAATCCTTCAGCCAGTAATTTTTTTGAAGACTAAAGTGTTAACTTTTTTCACAGTAAAGAGTACTGTAAAAGGCATAAAAACCTGCGTAGAAAACCCATATAATTCGCACAAAAGGAAAACCGGCGGCTAAAAGAAAAGACAGAATAATTGAACAGAAGTTCAGATCTAAATGAAAATGACCAAATATATCCCACTAAGTTGTCAGAAACTTACAAGTCAAAAGAACAGTCAAAAAACCCTAATCTGCCAATTTGACTTGCGGCATCACCCAATTTTTCAATTAAATGATCAACCTGAAAAAAAAAAAA